AGTGGAGTTCTCTACAGAATGATTTAATGGCAAGAAAATGCATCAAGATATGGTTTCTATCAGCTACACTAACAGCTTGCGAACATATTCGACAGAGAGCGTTGATCCATTATTTGGCTATTTATTTGTGTATGTTGCTGTTTATTGTGCATGCACTGCAGACCTGTCCAGCATCAGTAGCATGGCTTACGTGGTCACTTGTATAGGTTGAGGTTGTTCGAGGCTGTTGCTTGGCGTGGCGAGAATATTGCTCCACTTTCTCCTGTCCTCGAGATTGGGCTTCCAGTAGCTCTGGAGAGAGCTTTCGCACCTGTGGCCACTAACGGTCATAATTTCTCTGCTTTGTTTCAAGACCCGCATCAGAAAGCTTTTGAATGGTGGTACTTTTCCAGTTGGTCTACCTGCTCTTCACGTAGCTCTGCATGTCGTCGTTTAGGTGCTTTTTCTTTCTGGAGATAGGCACTCCTCAATCCACTCCTCCATACTATAGTAAGACCCCCCCGGAGGTCGAAGTTAATCTTAAATGTTTCCATCTTATGCTTTGTAAGTTTGTTTCGTAACGGAAGAAATTTAAATATATTTATAAAACTGATAAGTCAAATCAAGCAATCTGATTGGTCGATAGCGTTTTTGCGGACCTCTTTGATTACAGATTTGAAAACATCGTTGCTTGCTTTACAAGTAGCACAATTCATTATGTCAAACCTTCAAAAGTATCTAGATATCCCTGCCCTAATGCCAAAGGAACTGCACACTGAATATGTTTTGCCGTTTGATGTCTATGTCTGGACCGCTGCGTAAAAAGGAGGCTTTCTGCCCCGTTACTTCTCCGCTGCTTTCTTGTTCCAGTATGAAAAGTCAGCCCAACGGTATACTGTTTTTCTCAGACGCGGAGGGATACTGACTTGTTGTGAAAAGTAACTTACAATTCTACCCGTGGTATACGCTCAGTATATCACGGCTAAGAACCAATCAGATTGCTTGACTTGACTTGTCCGTTTTATAAAAATGCCTTGAACCCATCTTTCAAAAGTATTAATGCTAAGACATTAGAAATAGAATAGAATATTTTGTCCAAATATATTTTCCATTAAAGGTAGGGTAGGTAATTCACTTCAGATACACTTTTTGTTATATTCCATGGAATGCTCTTAACATCCCGATAGCAATGAGTACATTAAATGCTTTGACAATAAATACATAAATAAATGTCCTCTGTGGAAGCCGTGGAGCTGTAAAAAGCACGACCAATCATCTGAGCTGGCCCGGCTAAAGTAACTGGATGGCCTACCTGCCTGTCAGCCTTACATCTCGTGCACAAACTTATCTCGTGCCCTCATTGGTCATGTGCGTGTTGGAGGAGGGGCTCTGTGAGGAAGTCTGAAGGAAGGGGCAGATTTTTTCAAAAATTTTCAAATTCTAGCGCACTCGAGCTGCTTTCTCCATTCTTACCTACCCTACCTTCAATTTTCATAGTTTGTTTGCAGCCAGAAGCACACGCACCAATGTTGTAGAAAGTGTGATGAGATTTCTAACCTCTCTGTTCCTCTCTCTCTCTCCACAGGAGGCGGGCTTCATCCATTTCATGCGCAGCCTCCGAGGACGTGACCAGGTGAAGAGGAAGGAGGAGCTCTGAGAGGGGTGGGGGGGGGGGAGCAGGGAGGGGGAGTTGCACTGCAAAGTTTGTCATTGCACTGTGACCCTTGACCCTGACAGGGGCCCAATCAGCACTAACGTGGGAGACTTGATGACCTCAGCTATTTTTTGATACCGTAGTGATCACGTTTGTAATAAATCCAACAGAGAACCTGCAGTGAGCGAGACTCGAGACTCCTTTTTCACGGAGGGGCGGGACATACACGGGCACATTTTTTTCGTTTTTTTTAGCCCCAAACACTGTGACTACATATGTGAAAAACTACACCTTATACTTTATCTATGCAATACTGGTGGTGGGCATCAAGAGTAAAAAGGTGGAGACTGCACAGGGGTCCGAAAACAGTCTCATCTACCCCCCCTCTGTCTCTAGAAATAGAAACGCACCCGTTTTGTTCCAAGATTTCCATGTGTCACGTCCAGAACCATCCAGAATATTGCTTTATTGCAGATTAGACGATAAATAACTGCATTTAACACCTAAGAAAAGCACATGTTGTACGGTGAAATGTGCTGTTGTAGTAAAAAGGCACTGTAGCTATGAAGTAGTTTTAAATCTTAGCCAAAGGGTCAATACTCTGAATGGTTCCAGGCTTTGGTTTGGCTTTTTAATTTTGTTTTTCTAAAAACTGTGGCCTTAAATATATACAAAAAGAAAATTGAAAAAATGCTGGATTTGCAGAATGATCAAACGAAGGGGATCAGACGCCTGGTGCCGTGACGTTCCTTCAGCTTATGGACCAGAGAAGAAAACAACAAGAACATGAAAAGCCAAATATTCGTGTGCATTGTCCTTTATTTTCATGGTTTCCAAATGTTGTGGGGGATTCAGCGAGGCTCATTTACACACAATATGTGTCTAAAGATTGCATGTTAATGGTAAACAGTCCAGCACATGAATCTTCCACAGAAATAATAATCATGGACTCTCACAATGCTCTCTGCATTCAGGGAGACGCTGGAATAATTCAGACCTCTGGTTTACACTTTGGGCATTCAGGGTTTTGTTGTTTTTTATTTTTAAAGGTACATGTCTGTTTTATTCCCACGCTTTTCTGACACTTTCTGCAGAACTGAACAACGCCAAAATGACAATTCGGATCTGTGTTATCCTACAGTCCCTTGGCTTGAAATGCCTGGCCTTCAGTTAGCTGGGCCGTGCTTAACATCGTAATTCAATGGATGAATTTGTTGTACATCCCAGGATTATTAAAGTCTCCAGACCCCCGCCCACTTTGGCAGCATAACACCATCATCATTACTTTTGTGGCAATGTTTGTTGTGTGTTTTCAACCCCCACGCTTCGGCCACTATAAATATTTAATCTGTTGCTGAACTTGTGTTTTATTATTCAAGACTCTCGGTTTCTTTCATTATGAATAAGGTTCTCAGGGATAGCGAAACACAATTAAAGGGAACTAGTTTGTTCGTAATTTTGCATTCCAGCTGAATAACGTCGAGCCCACCAAATTAAATATTGTTTACATTTGTACCCCGAGTTAAAAACAATCCTGTGCTATGACAACATGTTGGAGAAGACATATTTGCAGTAGATGTTACTGAACCAGTTCGTTTTCATGGTGATTTTTAATGAACTGTTTAAATGTTCTGGCTGGCACCAAACACTCCTATGTGTTCAGTGTCACTATTATTAATATTTCATGGTATGTTGGAGCATTTCGTAAGAGCGCTTCACACAGTTGGGTGTTAACATGTTGATATCATTAGCTGTTCATTCTCCTCTGGAGGGAAACATCATTTCCTTTGTTTGCTGTTTTTGTTAAGGAGCCTCTGTCCCACATTGGTGGAATAATAGAAAGACCCAAAGTGACCCATGTTTTGTGGGAATTGATCACAATAATGCCAAGAAGTCATTGTTTCCTTTGTTGATTGTCTGTGCCCAGTCGTATGTACAATGTTTCCCCTTCCAGTAAGGACCTTGCGAGATAAAAAACAATAAAGTAAAACATTTCCAAAAAACTTGTCAGTTGTTTTTCTACAACATTCACATTGTTAGTTTTCTTAGGGGTGTTGTTCTAATGGTTATTATGTGTACAACTGTTGGATCAGTTGGCATGAAATGAGGCACACATTCATGTTTCTAACTGGATGAAATGTAACGACTGATTCTCCTTGAGGTCAACAATTTAGTTAACTCCAGTACTTTGTTTTGAACCTGCAGAAATAACGGCCTCCCCTCAGCCTCAGCTTTACTTTGTGATGATTGCTAATTCAATGTTTGCTATGATAGTGAACATGGTTTCCATCAGTAGGTCGATGTCATTACAAACTCATTTGCACGCAACATTTAGCGCTCTGTCTTTTAACCCCTTCTCTTGCGCTCTTTTGCGTATCTACTAGGGACAGTTTAGAAATATCCATCATCCTAAAAATGTCCAAACAAACTGTTCAAGTCTGTTCACATTTATTTTTCCCATGAACTAGTCTTTACTCACGGCCAGAGCCCATGCTGTGTTCCCGTTATTTCCCTTTTTCTTCACTGGGGAAAGTTTAGCCATCATGAATCCAAAATATATTCAAAAAATGTGTATTCAAAAAGTATCCACAGTGTTTTCTGATGGATGAAGACAAGTGTTTGTTGTCCACAGCTGACGTTAAATTGACTTCTTTCTGCAGATTGATATGACTACATTTCAGTCAGACAACTCACGTGTTTCTTTAACATGTTTATTAGAAGCAGCATATAGTTGAGTTTGGCGTCTAGGCTCGGGCATCATCACTCCACAGATAGCACCATGAGTGATGATTAAATAACTAACCCCCAGAGCCTACAGTTGGAAGCTGGGGTGGTGGTGGGACAGGCAAGCAGCAGCGACGTGGAAGTAGCTGCAGCAATAGCAGCAGCAAGCAATGCATAGAGAGATACCTGGCAGGTTAAATAGAGCGGTGTCGTGACCACTTATTAATACACTGGGTTACATAATTCACACATGGAACTACAGTTGGCGTTATTGTTTCCGCACGGACATGTATGTGGTTTACTATATATATTGTGTGCCCTCTTGGCTTCTCTCTCTCTTCTTCCCGGGCTGCAACCGGACAACATGACCTTTTCTGCTCCGCATGCAAGTTCACTTTTGCACCTCCATTGCACCGCCTCCGACTCCCTATCTCTCGGCACTACAGCGGCATATTAGGAGACTGTTTGGTTGGTTGTAGAGTGGCAAGGGGCGTTATGTATGAATGCAGCATTGTGCTCGAGTTGACTGCCTGAACTAGCTCGCAGGCTTCGCCCCATATAGTCCATTGATCCCCCATAGCAACGGTCTATCATCGAAAATGAACAACCTCTGAATGTCCAAATTGACCAATCAATCAGAACCGAGAACTCCACTAAGCAGTGTAATACTGTAAGTGGCAAGTTGCACAAAACCTTCTTGAGGCTTTAAAGAATCCCTTCAAAAGGAATGCTTTTAGCGCATTGAAATATATTTTACAGCAGTAATATTCCTCAGACGAAAGTTGAAAAGAAATGCCACAACTCTTCATAGCAAACATAGACACTAGACAGACAATAACAATAATAATAGTCTCTCTGAATCTACCCGAGTAGTTCTGACAGGATATCCACAGGTTTAAAGTTATTTTAGCACCAGGCATCGCTGCTGGCTCAGTGAAATAAATGGAAGTCGACCTTGCCGGTCGGCTGACGGCCAGGGTTTTCTTTCTGAGATTTTGTCTCAGAAAGAAAACAAATGGAGCACTCAGCAGATCTGACACTGATGGCTTTATTATGAGAAATTGCACCGGACCTCAAAGGGACCCCGCTCACATTGACGTCAGAGAAAAAATATTGCCATTACTCCACGTTTGCAAACTCACTTTGACGAGCATCTTCTAATCTAAATCGTTGCTTTTAGGATCAAAGTTCTGGGGAACGTGTGTAAGACTTGCTCCTGTGTAAAAGGTTGTTGAGTAAAAAGTGCTCATAAATCAAATGTTTCATTATTAGGATTGTATTGTCATTATCAATGTCAGGGAATAATTTCCATAGATGTTTACCTTTTGCCCTCTGACGCAGATCATGCCCAGCCTTGGGCAGCATCTCCCTAGAGATCTCTCTCTCCTCTCTCTAGATGCAATCCCTCTTCCTAGCTGCCCTAGCATTTTGTTGTTGTTGCCAGTTTGTGACCGGTAAACTCTCGGTCAGAGATAGTTATTGGTTGTGGGACACCTGGAACACATCCTTCTCGGGGTGTAGATGACCCCGAGCCATAAGCGACAGCAAATGTGATTCAGTGTCCTCAGCTAAGTCTATCTATTGAAGAATGTTGATTATTACACTCTGAACTAGTTAAAACCTCGAGCTACAGGACAGGAGGGAGCTTCAGAATTGATTGTGGCATCTCAACCGTGTGGTCAGATCGTGGCCCGTGACATGTCGTGTGAATTCTCCGGCCGAAGCTCCAAATAAACCGTCAGTGTTTGCCATCAAAGCTCCAGCTCTCTTCGTGTCTCTCTGAGTCCTGACTCCAATTGCTTCAGAAGTTTCCCCCACAACCAAGATGCATTTTCAGTCTACTGGCAGTTAGTTTTGATCTGGAGTAAAAAAATATGCGTAAGCAGCCAGTAGACACGTGAAACCGATTTGGGTATTAGTGTTCCCCAAAAGATATTTAATAGTGTTTTAATTTCTTTGGATTCATGACCGTTTTAGTCTGACCACCCTGAGAACAAACCTAATTGTCATTGTCAGTATGTTCCTAAACCTGTCTAACACTGTTATTTTTATTTTTCAAATGAGGCTTATAATTACTTTATACTTACTTACTAAAAAAAGATAGCATTTACTTTGTTTGCGCACTTTTCTAAAGTATTCTATGTTTTTATTACACAGCTTAGTTGAATACTCGATTCTTATTGGTCAATTTGGACGTTCCAGAAGTTGTTGATTTTTGCTAACAGACCGTTACTATGAAGAACATATCGTTGTGAAGGAGGATCAAGTGAAGTCATATCAATCCAGTCATTTTAACATTAGCTTTCTCCGTCAGAAAACACCGTGGATAACTTCTTGAATATACATTTTTATATTTCTGGAGAGCACGAAACGTTTGGATTCATGATGGCTAGTAGTAACGAAAGAGGTTAAAAGACGCTTGACTTCAGGAGGATCAAGGGACTATTAGCAATATATCAATCCGCAGAAAGAAGTCCGGTCAATTCAACGTCAGCTGTCATAGCTTTCTCCGTCAGAAAACACCATGGATACGTTTTTGAATAGCGCTAAACTGTCCCTAGTAATAAGGAAAGAGGTTAAAAGACGCTGGAAGTCAGAGAAATCCACAGAAGAAGACGGACAAGAAGTAAACACTTACAGGAACACGTAGTGGAACGGACTATGTTTTCTTAGCGAGTGCAATACGATCATTCATAAATCAATGAAATTACTTTTTTTCGTGGTACTTTTGTGTGTCTGGTTTAGTATTGTATTCTCTCTCTTATTTCTTTATATGTTATCCTGTGTATTCTATAGGGCTCTCTCTAGATGTGCTGCGGAGGAGGAGGAGTGACTTTGAGACCTGAGAGTTTTCAGTCTCCAGGTCATGCAGCAGGTCTGCAGAGATAAAGTGTTGTTGGGATGCATGCAGTGCCGGCTGATTAATGATACAAACAGCCTCTCAATCCCCAGTTGCTTTTGGAGGATTTTCAAAGGGGTTGAATCACTTTCCCCTGATTTGCATTGCTTTTTTCTTTGGGTTTTTTGGAGGGGGAGGAACAAGCTTTTTTAAACTTGTGCAGTGTGAGCTTAAGGAATGGAGGGCACAGCGTTGTTTATACAAAGTCAAGGCCTGGTCAGATTCAAGTACCCTTAACAGAAGCCATTTTCCCTTTATGGATAATTGTGTTTTGGGCCATTCAGGATTTTATTTCCGTGGCGTCAACCTGCGCCCTCCACCTGACCTCTGCTTCTTCACATCATCATTATGTTGTTGATGTGTCTCGTATAAAAGCCTCCAAATGACCTCTTGTTTTTTATTAAAAGCTTGTTTTGTTGATTTGAACTTCTATTAACCCTATATAGGCTACGTTTGTTCTTTATGGTTATTTCTGCTTTTCTGTATGCCAGTGCTGTGAGAAATTGTTTGAAACACCAGACGTCAATGAAATAAAGAGACCTCTGCTTCATGAGGCAGTAATCAAAATTATTTGCATCCTTTCCGGAAAGATCCATATGTTCACTCTCTTAGCTATCCAATCCAGCTGTCAAACACTGTGAAGAACAACGTCCCTTTTACGATATTGCTGATAGAAATCTGAAAATTAAAGCTTAGGAAATCAATCAATAACTGTACCATGAAAATGTCAAATGTCTACAATTGATCATTTTAAAGCCTTTGAATGAAAAGCTTCCACTAACATAAAACAATACTTGTCTCTGCAAATAGATACAAGCTAGATTTACAGAAAACCATACAACGTTAATATATGACTGTTGTTTGACTTTGTGAGTATCTCTGATGAAAACGACCTTTAAGATAATGATCAAATGCTTTCTATTCATTGAATGTCATTATGCAGCCCACATCTCTACGCCCTGAAGGCAACACAACCTACATTTAAATGTAATCTGCGGTACACAGCATCATTCACATCATTGACAGCACCATCCATATTTTTATTTGTAAAGGTCCCGTGTCATGCTTTTCCGGTTATCACCCGTCCCCTTGTTTGTTATGAAGGTTTTTCTGCATGTAAACGGTCTGCAGAGTCAAAAACCCTCAAAGTACAGCCTGTAGGGAGTACAACTCTAACACAGAAAAGACCTGTCTATGCTGCCCCAGAACGCCTCTTTGGAGATTTCTCTTTTTCCATTTGTTTCTTCCGGGAACCGCATGACCTCCCTGAACGCTGGTAATAGACGAGTTGGGATGGTGGAGAAATGCTCTCCGCAGACCCATTCTCACAGCGTTATAAACCTTTTTCTTACTCAATATCAAGCCCACTTATTGTTTTTACTTCGGGCTGTGAGCGTTTGTGTGTGTCCTCAGGGATGAGATTTTGCGCCGTCTCGCTGTATCACGGCAGGAAACCGACACCAGTAAGCCAGCAGCTCCTAGCAGCGAGCCCGCAACGCTCCCGCCAATCAGAGCCTCACTGGGCTCACAGGGAGGGGTGGGGGGGGGCAGGAGCCCTCCAACAAGGCCGTTTAGACAGAGAGCTGTCAATACACATACTTAAAGAGATGTGTATCGAGAACCAATGTGAGTTGGAAAATGCCAAATTCTGAGTATACCTCAAACAATGGAATTATGTATCAGAGAAATGGCCATGGCATGG